TATTTATCATAAATATTATATTAGATATTTAGTCTAGCTTTTAATAATATTTTGAATAAAGCTTTATATAAAATATGTATAAAATATTTATATAATATTTCAAAAAATGAATAGTAATAAATACTTATCATAAATATTCTGTGCTTCAGTAAACTTGTCTTATTTTAGTCAGTCTTTTAAAAATCATTTTCGTACAGATAAAATTGGAACAATTACGAAATATATCGACATATGTGGAAACGATAGCATATCAAGTATAAGCATCTCTCATCAATGGTGCTTATCGAAATGAATCGATATTTATGGCCCAGGTGCGACGCGATCACACGATCGTCCGTTCCTTAGATATAGCATGATCCGCCTATAATACAGCATGACTGATTGCATGGTGTGTGTGCGATTGGAACGCGAATCCGTGCATCACGCAGTGTATTAGGTCGGAATAAATTGCCGGTTAAATGATACAATGATGTTCGGGAAATTGAACTATCACTCGTCACTCGCGATCGTCGATCCGTAAATTGTTTTGTTTATACATCCATAGGAATTTGTTCTAGAGGATGCTCCACATTAATCATAAATTCATACTTCAAATTAGCAGAAATCACCTCTGTAAAATTGGCATATCCCAGGATTAAAATTTTGTTTATATAAAATTGCTTAATTTTTCAATTCAGTTGTATAATATTTTTTAAAAGAAAATTAATTCTTTTGAGTAAATAATGAGTTTTTTTTTATTTATAATAAGTATCATATATTTTAAGATTATTATTAAGAAGATATTCTTTGTTAAAGATATCTAAACAGAATGATATTTCTGATAATTTTTCTGTGTACAATTTTACATCTTAAAAAATCAAGAATTGTACTTTCTTCAAAGCTTCTCTCTATCAGTAGAAAAAAAAAGACACCTATTTTAAATACAATATAAATGTTTTCAGAGATTTTTACTTTCAGAAAAAGATTAGATTTTTTAGAGAAAAATGTAGATTTTTGCTTCTTGAAAATCGAAGAGTGTACTTTTTTCGAAATCGTTAGCTCGCTCCTTTTTGTTTACGAGGAAACCATGGTTCTACGAGGAGAGGTTGCGACACACCGGTGTATACCCGTGTGTCAAGAGTCACCAGAGCGTGGAACGTCCGGTGGATACGGGCGGGTGCACGTGTCGGCTTTACGTGCATTGCATGTGACTCGGCACTTCGGCATCCGAATGCAGCCGTTCGCTCGCATTCTTTCCTCTCGTTCGTCGGCCTCAGTCGGTCTTTCTGGAGCGCTATAAATTATTACATCTCTCTTACGCACTTCCGATGACTCAGGCTGTCGGTCAGCCATACGGAATTCACTTGTAATCACATGAGATTACAGTCGAATTTGCCATTATATTTCAAAAATCAAAATTCTAAAATTAAATCGCGCTGTCGCGTCGCTTCTTATGTCGCAATTAAATATGTTAACTTATTACTTTCTAATCTAATGTTAGGTTCTTCCCGGACAACAAAAGTGTTTAAAATCAAGTCATAAGACCTGATTTTTTTGTGTCTAAAAGACGATTTAAAGACGTCTTATGTAACAATTTTATACTTTGTGTTATATTTGTTCTTATCCATTTTCTTCCTTCCATTCCGTCGTTTTTTTTTATCAAGTCTTATTTTTTATCAACCAGTGTTATATTGATATTTCTTAGGTTTTATTATTAGATTCTGTTATTCATATCAGATTAGACTAGAGATTAAGCTTGAATTTAAAATTGAATTTGACCAATCGAAGTATAGTTCATTAAACTTGATATTGTATTTCTTTTGTCTGATAGATTAAATTCAATCTCAATCTCTACTGACATATAAGACTATCTATATAAAATCATAGAATATAAAATCATATTATTCTATGATTTATTTCTTTGTTCTATTTACCGTGTTTTTGTGTTATAATCTTATTTTTCTTGCGCCCTGATTGTTTTGACTATAAGTAGACACCATGACGACTGCTTTGCAGTCTTATCTTTGGTCATCATGTCAGTCTTATCATGTTTTATTATATTTATGCTCTTTATAATTATTCGAACTATTTGTAGATCATTATTTTTTATATATACGCAATAAAATTATTATTTATCCACGATATTACGAATTGCAAATTTGCTGCGAATCCGTAACCTATGCGAAATGCAAGCAATTCAAGATTAATCTACAATCTGCGTGATATTGTAAGATTTCTGTTAAACCACGAGATTTAAAGAAGAAAAAACATTTCTCTGTTTGCAGAACCACTTCAGGAACCGCGTTTCATCAATCAACCGTCCAGTAGTAGCAATATACTTAGCGAAAATCGCACGAAGTTTCTACAATGCCAAGCGAGAGGTAAGTCATGACCGTAACATTTAATCTGAAAATTTATTAACATAGGAACACGCACGCACGCACGCACGCACGCACGCACGCACGCACGCACGCACGCACGCACGCACACACACACACACACACACACACACACACAGAGAGAGAGAGAGAGAGAGAGAGAGAGAGAGAGAGAGAGTTCTTAAAAGAATTCTTGACGATAATGAATTTTAATAACGAGTTTTATGTGAAAATTGTGCATTTTTATTTATACTTGTTAAAAATGTGAATTTATTATTCTAAGCAAAAAAAAATTTCTTTTTAACTAGATTGTTGTTTCAATTCAATACTAAGATAACTTTAAGTATCGAGATTTTTGGAAATTTTAAGTATTGTTTCTTTCATAAAAATGTGCTTTTAAAAATAAAAACTATTGTTATTTCAATTTTGTTCAATTTCATCATTGTTAATAGTTTGAATTATTCCCTCGTGAATTGCCAGAAATTCTTGGGTTTTTAGTGCTTAAGTATGCAATTAATAGTGTATTGAAAAAATAAAATATAAATAGATGAAAGAAATAGATGAAATAGATGAAAGAAACAAGTAAGGACCACAACAGCAGAGATAACGTTCGCCGCATGGCGTTTCATTGTCCTGCAGAAATATCGAATGACAGGCGGATGAGACGATGGTTAGATGAAGCCGTATCAATGCCCAACACCGTGTAATTCAATCGTATGACCCTGTACTAATAGTATTAGATAACTCGCGAGCTGCAGCATCGTCCGTGACTTTGCATTGAATTCGAGTTTCTTATATTAAATTATTCTTCTATTAAAGATTATTTAAAGTAATTATTTTTACGCAGTTCAAAAACATTATAGGTCGCAGGAAATGTATTTATTAATGAGAGAGATGATTTGTACATTTTCTTGATAATTTTCATATAATTAAAAAATTTTTTTCCTCTTTTTTAATTAATTTTTAAATTAAAATCAAGCTAAATAGAGAAAAATTACTTAAGCATAAACAAATAATTTTCATATTGTCTTTAGGTAATCCTCAACCAAAGTACAAATGGTTCAAAGACGGGATGCCCCTCAACAACGAAGTCACTTCGGGCGAGCCTTATTATCGTATTCTCAGTACGCGACGCGAGGATGCTGGGGTGTATCATTGCGTCGCAACGAATGATGTGGGATCCATATTCAGCGATCGGCTCATCTTCGCCGTAGCTTGTAAGTATTTCGTCGAATACTACATCAATACGTCCACATCGTGGATTACGAATCGACGTTCCAATTCGCTTCAGATATGGGTACATTCGATGATCTCACGGAGAAAGTGGTGACCGTCGAGTCGGGTAGCGCCGCAATTCTGGAACTACCTCCGATTGAGAGCCATCCTCCCCCTGCCGTAACGTGGCTCTCCTCGGACGGAACTCTTCTGTACGGTATAAAGTACGCTACGACCGATCACACATTGATCATACTAAACGCTTCGGAAAATGACAAGGGCTCCTACAGGTTTGTATTGATTGATGCAACCAACGCGCAACACTAGCTCATTTATATATAATAGCTAATGTTTATAATAGCTCGTCCTAGTAGTCAATCCTTTGCTTCAATTGCGAAGCATATGAACTCATTCTTTCAAAATTTCCGACCGACGAAGTTTAAACTTATATCTTTTTGACGTTTATGATGATACAGAGCGAAGGCTATTAACACTCAATTGGGTACGGAGGTGAGCAGTCCGTTTTTTAAACTGCAAGTCATCGGCGATCCAAATGCGGAAGTAGCCCCTACCATAATCATCAAACCGCAGGACACGCAAATAATCAAAGATCAAGATGTCACGCATATATATTGTATCGCGAATGCCAGGTATTCGCGAATCTTTGTTTATCATTCTTTTATCATTCATCACTGCGTGATGATTTTTCTTCTTTCTTATGTACAGACATAATGTTTTCGTTCAAGAGATTTAAAATTGAAGTTTTAATATCGAGACTACATCAATTTCAGATCTCTTCATGAATTAAGGACCTTATGGATGAAGGATGGCATTCCGATCGAAAATTCTAGAATATCGTATAGCTTTAATGATTCGTGGAACAGAACGCTCGCATTGATCTCAGCCAACATAACTTACACAGGAATTTATTCTTGCCACGTAGATTTGCGGAGTGGTGGTTATCCGACCATAAATGCGAGTGCTAAAATCGTCGTATATGGTAAGCATTATCGATGAATAATCCAGTAAATAGCGATAATATAATTATGTTTTGAAAAGTAAGAATACGCGACACTAAAGATTTTAAGTATTTTAACAGATCTAAATCTTTCTTAAAATTCCCATTTTCTTAGAAAAACCAACATTCATAACGGAATTAAAAAGGGAAACTCTGAGTGATTATGGGTCCACAGTAACGTTACCGTGCGATGCTAACGGTGTGCCACCTCCTACAATCACTTGGTTCCGTAATGCCGAGCCTGTCGATCATTTACTGGGAACTAGGTACGTTCTGGCAAATATTTGCTTTTGTAGTCATTGGAATGAGA